GTCCTACCCCAGTCCGGCGGTGGACGGGGATGATGGTATTCGGCTCCTCTCACGCTCCGCAGCGGGAGCATCTGTCAAGAGAGGACTTGGGGGTCTGCGGTGCTTGAGGAGGGACGTAGCCGGACCAGGGGGGATTTCCCGAAGGTGTTTTTTTTTCTTGAAAGCTGGATTTCTAGGTGCGCCGTGGTGTTGTGACCTCCCGTAATAAATATGTGCCAAAACCTCATCTCCTTTCCCTGTTCTGCATAAACACCTGGATTTCCAATTCGCGATGCAGTGCAAATGTGGAGCTACGAGTCAGAAGCGCCCAATTTCTGGTTCTTTCTTGTCAGCAGGGCAGTTCAGTAAATATTTCTTTCTTCAGTATCTCAAGTATAAAATGTCGCTAATAACAACTGCAGATAGTCCTTTATCTTGGTAGGTTATGCAAGATGAGCGAGCAGACACGGTGGTTGTTTTGCAGATGAACAGTGCAAAGATTTGTTTTATTCATCCAGTTACGCCGCAGACCATGAATCTGCAGGTATCTGAAATTCTTCACAGCTGGCTCGAGCTCTGGTACAAAACCACACAGTTGTTTTAAGCAGGAAAAACCCGAAAAATGTGTTACTGTAGAAGGCAGAGACACTGGGTTGGCAGCAATTTAAGCAACTGAAAGTAGGTTGCAGTTACGGTGGAATTGTTCTGACATGTTCATGTACTGTTCCTCCACAGCAGTGCCTGGGAAAGACGGGCTGTAAGACTTGTTTTAAGGTGCCTTCTTTTCCCGTCGTACACAGTGCATTTTGACAAGCACAGTTAAGCTTTCTGGCAGTGCTTTTATTAGGTTCCTTGTTTCCTAAGCAGCATTTGAGAGCTGCGTGCACCATCTAAAGCTCTTAGGGCAGAGTTGTGGGCAGGTAGGGATTGAATACTTCCTTCTGAACAGGCACGACTCGAACCTTTTCTGATGTGTTCAGTCAGAGCTGAGAGGCAAAAATGGGGTTTTCCTCTGTTTTGTTCAAAAAGGGAAGCCCTAGGGGGGAAGATCAGCAGCATCCCAGCATAGTTTTAGTGTTGAGTAGAGGGGTGGTCCCATGGAATGCACTAAAACAGTCCACATCCACAAGACTGTACTTAACATAGTGTGCTCCAAAACTGGTTCCTGGTTAGCTTAAGCTGGTGAAGATGAAGGGGTCTGGAGTTAATTTGAAAACAGTATTTTGTTCATTCGGTTTTCTGGGAAACCTTCTGGGAAAGGGATAAGAAATCAAGGAAGGTGAACTAGCAAACATGGCATGGATACTTTTTTTAAAAATTTTAAATTGGACCAGCTGATGCATTTGGGAAAAGGGGTCAGTTTTGAGGAAGGAACTCAAAGCCTGAAAATGTCCCAGTTTTATGTGTTAGTCAAAGATACTGTGCTCTTGTCACTTGTCTTGTTAATCAACATGATTTATGTGATACTATTTTGCTTCTTGGTGAAACTGCCTAGAATTGCTCTGTTGTTCGTTAAGCATCTCTTCACAGGTTATTGGGATTCTGGTTACAACCACTGTTGTGTTTTCTGGCATGCAAATATGATTCCTTCCCCCTCCAGTTGTGTTTATTCAGTTCCAAAGACTGCTGGAAAAACATTGTTATAAAATTTATCCTTGAGGTTTGTCTTCTGCCAAGGCAAGGTGCTAGGCAAGCTTTGCAGCTCCCAAGATAAGTGTTGCTGATGTGGCTTATTCGTTTATCCTTTTTTTTTTTTCCTTCTTTTCTCCCCACTGTCAGTGATTTAGACCATAGAACACTGGGAATTCTTTCAAATGTCCTCAAAATGTGAAAACAACAGAGCGTAGCAACGACGCTGCTGGAGTCGTTAACTTCAAGTTCATCAGATTTTTCCACTTCTTTTTTATAATGATGTGGGCTTTTCATCTCTTCTTCCTTTCCAGCCAGTAGTAATATTTTGGATCCTGATCTGTGTTGTTGACATTACTTGTCTTCTTTTTTCTTTAACAGCCACAACTGAGGTTACTTAAACTATGCTTAAGAAACACAAACTCTTTTAATCTCCTGTTTTATAGCTGCATGGTACTAAGACATGTTTCAAGTCTTTTACATAGCCACAGACCACCATGAAAGTGTTTATTGAGCTCATAAGCATGCAGCTATGAAATCCTCTTTACTCATGGTGCTTGGATGTACGAGCTGGGTGGAACAGTGTGTTCTTACATTTCGTACAGTCTTTGAGAGTTGCGTGGCTCTTATTGTTAAAAATCTACCTATCAAATGGTAAATTCCTCAGAGACTGAAGACTGGTTATCTGTGTTACAGATCGTTTAAGTCTAATTCCCTCTTGCCCAGCTTCATTTACAACAGTAATGCTATTTTTAATGTTTGATAAAGTAGCATAGCAACTGAATGTTAGATTCAGATCAGCAGAGTATGGGTAGCATGAAGCCCCTGGATACCATAGGCTAAATGCTCGTGTCTTGGGCTGCAGCACCCTTTTACTTTTAATCTGTCTCACGCAAACAAGCTAATGAGATACGTATCTTTCACTGCTGGCGTTTGCATTTGGCAAGAGGAAGTCAGTTCAGATCACCACGTTTGTTTTTCCACCCTACCTGCTCAGCTAGTGCAGAACACCCAGTTTCTAGGGGAGAACGTGTGGCTTATCAGTCTAGTCAGGTTCATGGTGTACGGAGTATTCATGGTACACAAGAGCAGTTAAGTTATGCATGTAAAGCATGTAGGACTTAATGGGAGTTTTTATTTATTGCTGCAGTACTCAGAGATGCTACATGGTCCACACAATCTGGGAGTTTAAGATGAAGAGGAGGGTGGTCAGTGGGTCC